TTCTGAAGCTGCTGCCCCCGCGACCCGACCCCGGATAGGCGGAAGAAAATGGATGGATGGATGGATATACATATGATTTTAAAAACATCTCAATGAAATCAGCAGAATTTCATTGATACAGTTTTGTGTGTAAGTATATATTTGGCCACCAGAGGTCAGCCTAGCAGCAGAATGTATACAGATCAGAATACAGTAGCTGAACTCAGTCTGTGCAACAGTTTAGGTAATTTTATCTCAGTGGATAAGGTTGTTACACAGCTAAACTTCATCCATTCATCTTGTTTAGGGGTCATATGTACAAGTGATTTCACATCATTTTTGGAAAAAACTCAGATTATTAAAATACTTCTTTTAAAAGATGAATAAAAGTACAAATAAAAAGTAGCTGAACTTTATTTATGATTCTAGGAGTTAGAAGGCAGAATGATTCTTAATAATTGATCTTAATTTAAAATCAGAGAACACATGGAATATATTTTTTTAAATTTAAACTCTGAACACAAACAGAAGCGTGACCATTTCATGCCTTGGTTTTCTTTCAGGCGTGCCTATCAAATCAAATCCAGAGTCAAAACAGAGAAAAACAGAAAAAGGAGAAACACAAAAAGCTTGTTTCAGTGGAAAAAAAGACAAGTAGATGTTAGCAACAAGTGGAGACTGTCAAGAACTGAGTCGCTCTTACCCGGATCCGTTGGGATTTTGGAGAGATTAGTAGGAGACACCTTAAAGAATTTAACAGAATTTATTAAAGATTACATGTAAAAACCCACCGAACAGATTTGCAAATCTGGGAGAACACCAGACCRATACTTCCCTTCGATCATCAAGCGTCTCATCTAACTTCTGTAACTCTTGACATTTTACACTGAAGCCTCATTCTTATGTAATTTCTGAGCAACCTGCACAGGATTCGGATGTCAGCCTGACACATATTTGCACAGTAAGTGGGCGAGGAAACTGGACCCTGATCCGGATCACCAAACATGTTTTTCCAATAGTTTTTTTGTACGGCACACTGTGACATGTTAAATGTCATCTCCTAAGTCAAATTACATGAGATGCATTACTTATTTTAAAAACTACAAGCAGATAAATTACTGTAGTTATTAACAGGAGATAAACTATAAGTAAAACTGATCAAAATCTCAATAAGACCTAATAGAAAAATAGAACAGGATATTTATACGCAACTCACTCAACATGATGCAGGAGAATTGAAGTCATGCACGCCTGATGAGATAACGTGTGCGTTGATTAAAATACGAGGTATTTGTTGGTTCACTTGCTTGCTACATCCTTAGCAAGTGATTGGATTTCATACTGCATAAAACATGCAATTCAAAAAAAATACTTCTGGTTGGTTTCAATAAACTTTTTCAAAAACAAACTAACAAAAAAGAAATTAAATTTAAAATACATTACAGCATACAGATCCATGCCACACAATGTGCACAGTAACTCCAGGTAACAAAGCTAAAACACAAGTCATAAGGCAAACCCCTAACTAAAAATAATAACTGTGAACATATCAAAGTAAAGGCTTTGATACWACATGGGCACTTCAGTACTACAAGTTTCAGGATGTCAGTCTTCTACAGAAAGAAAAGCTCTCGGAATTTTTAGCAATTGTGAGCGTTGAGAAAAATGAAGGAAAAAAGTTTATAGAAATGAGAATCTATAAAGACTGAAGACAGTGGGAGGTGGTTAGCCTGATCCATGTTTAGAAATGCTTTTGAGTATTGTGTTAAAGTCCATTAGGATTATTTTGAATTATAGAAACAGTAACAAGTTTCATATATTCCATATGTAATGAACTGAGTGTATTAACAAAGACGAGTGAAAATATCTATGGATGCTGAGGGCTGCTCAGATTACATCCTGATGGGACTCAGTTCATTCTGTTTATTTATGAGAACTGTTTATGAACAAGATAAGAAACTCCACCTCTAATGTRCATACAGGAGAATCTGTCCAAAAAGCATTTTTCACACTTCTGCAAATTATGTCAGTGTTATAAAGAGCTTTGATCTTAGCTCCACCTCAATTCAGAGTCATCAACAACACATTGTCAGGACAGTGCAGCATCATCGGCTAAARCATGGTCTGTTCCTGTACCTATACCTGAGCAGATATTAAGTGGTGAAAGAGGCTCCAGATTATGGAGTCCAGGCTTTAAAACAAAGGTGTTTCACTAAATTTAGTCATCCCTGATGTGTTWAACTGGTTCATATAAAACACATTCATGTATGTTGTTTAAGTATTTGCAGAGACATGTTAACATTTCATAAATTCTGTTTGTAGAAGTCTGAAAAAGATGAGGCAGATGCTTTAATTGTAAGTCTCTTCATGTTAAATGGGAGTCATTTCTCTCCACTGGCGCCCATGGCCCAGTACATGATGATTCTGTGCCATCAGTTTCCTTGAATAAACTCTTTACTAACTTGTATTTTATAATCTACTAAACCTGACTGTTGTAGCATTGTGTTTTTATTGCCTGCTGCCGCGTTTTTATCTCTGTCTGTAAGCAAAAATATTCTCTGAACCATTGGATGGATTTGAATGAAAAACCCAGAAAGGAAATAACAAATGTGCATCTGTGACAGATTAACTTTTAGTCAATCCATCTTAAGATGACTGTCACAGTTMATCAAATGTAGTGATAACAAAGATGGCTCTTAGTCAGTTTTACAGATATTGAGATTAAATTCAAAATAGTAGCAGCTGACAATCATTCCCAACACATAATTTGAGCTCACAGATCACAAGGTAATATTTGAATTTAATAATTTAATTGAAATGGACAGTATGAATATATTGATTCAAGGTGTAAATTGAAATTAATTTGACTTGGACTGGTTGAMTGGGAGTTTTGTTGCGAATTAAACAAACAAATAGAAACAAATAATTACAGCAGGCTGGCTTTGATGCCTACAGAATCAGGCTAACCGCTGTCTTCTTTTATTCTTTTAATTTTAAGTTTCACAAACTCACTTTGGCCTCATATTTACCAGATAATCATGAGAGYAGTGTGGTTCGTTAATCACAAGCAAAAAGAAAAACAAAGCCTTTAAAACGTCTGACACAACACGTTTTATGTTACAGCCAAAAAACCGTTGAAGCTAAAGATTTGTCCTGTATWAAATGAAATGATATCAGAATTTTATCAAGGCACGTTGTGTGTATGTGTTGAGGACCTGCATTTATAAAAACTGGGCAAAATATATTTCTCATTTGTAAATTAGCTTAATTCTTTGTGGTTAGCAAGAGGTGGAGACTTAACTGCAGTTGTTTTTGTTTTTTTTTAAATTAATGGCAGAAACAGTGCGGTTTAACAAATTTCTGTAATATAGAGGAACCTCGGCAGAGAGGTCATGCATTTTTCAGTAGGATCTCAAAACAAGGCACAGGAAGGGAGGGAGTGGAAATTTCARTTTGCATTGCAAGCTAGTGTCACAATGTGCTGTTTCTGCACCCGTTCATCCTCCACAAGCTCTACAACCACATTCTAATCCRATGCAATGCATACAGTTTATAAACAGCACTTTCAAACTCAACTGCCTATTTACAGATTTACAAAAATAAAATTAAAATAAATTTTTAACCCAAGGACAAAATGCAAGCAACATAGAACAGAACAAAATTAACTACAWCAAAGACAAATGTTACATTTCATGTCTTTTGCCTGAAATCTGTGCAATGCCCAGGCTGGTTGGTGTTTCTTGACATGTTGACACAGTGGTTTGAGTTTCCTTTCTGACACGGAGTCACCAGCTGCRTTGTAGCTGCTCAGACAGACCTGCCAAACTCAGCTCTGTCAGCTTTCAGCACATGGACTCTGAAGGCAGCAGGAAAAACCTCGACGATAGCGCCACACTCAAGTCTAAAGCGAAGAGGAGCAGAGCCCACGAACCTCTKCATGCACTGCCTCTGCTGCAGGCTGCATTTAGGGAGAAGAAAAAACAGGCCTGACATCGTGATGTGAACCAGGAGGAGCTAACTCGCTGCTTTTGACAGTTTGCTTTGAGCGTCACTGCTGCAGCAGGGAGCGCTGCCGGGTTTGGCCACAGTGCAGCTGCTGGGTTCTGTGGAGTCACCGCTGTATGGACTCGCGGGGACAGAAACACTCTGGCCACATTGTCTCTTCTTGTTCAGCTCCTCCCAGTTGGCCCTGTTCGCTCTGATCATGTCAACCATTGGCTGAAGTTTAGGAGTCAACTTGGCCAAAGTCTAAAGAGAGGAGGAGAAAAGAACAGACAATTAGAAAGTAAAGGAAATGCATTGGCTCTCAGGAGGAATGCAGTGTAAAACATTTGTATTCATTGTTTATGTATTCCTTTCTGGAMAACGTACGTCCGTCCATCAGTTTTCTTCCGCTTATCCGGGGTGGGGTCGCAGGGGCAGCAGCCTAAGCAGATAGACCCAGACTTCCCTCTCTCCAGCCACTTCTTCCAGCTCCTCCGGGGAACTCCAAGGCGTTCCCAGGCCAGCTGTGAGACATAGTCCCTCCAGCATGTCCTAGGTCTTCCTCTGGGCCTCCTCCCAGTGAGACATGCCCGGAACACCTCACCAGGGAGGCGTCCAGGAGACATCCTAACCAGATGCCCGAGCCACCTCAACTGGCTCCTCTCGACGTGGAGGAGCAGCGGCTCTACTGAGTCCCTACTGGATGACTGAGCTTCTCACCCTATCTCTAAGGGAAAGCCCAGASACCCTGMGGAGGAAACTCATTTCGGCCGCTTGTATCCGCAATCTCGTTCTTTCGGTCACTACCCAAATCTTGTGACCATAGATGAGGGTAGGAACGTAGACCGACTGGTAAATCAAGAGTTTCGCCTTCAGGCTCAGCTCCCGCTTCACCACGACAGACCGGTACAGCACCCGCATCASTGCAGATGCAGCACCAATCCGCCTGTCGATGTCCCGCTCCATTCTKCCCTGAACAAGACCTCGAGATACTTAAACTCCTCTACTTGGGRCAGGAMCTCCTCCCCGACCCGGAGAAGGCACTCTACCCTTTTCCGGCTCAAGACCATGRTCTCGGATTYGGAGGCACTGATCCTCATCCCGGCCACTTCACACTCGGCTGCGAACCGCTCCAGTCAGAGCTGGAGATCATGATCTGATGAAGCCAATAGGACCACATCATCTGCAAAAAGCAGAGATGTGATCCTAAGACAACAAAAACAGATCTCCTCAACACCTTGGCYAYGCCTARAAATTCTGTCCATAAAAGTTATGAACAGAATCGGTGACAAAGGGCAACCTTGGCGGAGTCCAACTCTCATCGGAAATGAGTCTGACTTACTACCGACAATGCGGACCAAGCTCTGGCACYRGTCGTACAGGGACCTAACAGCCGGTATCAATGGGTGTGGTACCCCGTACTCCCGGAGTACCCCCCACAAGAGTCCCTGAGGGACACAGTCGAACGCCTTCTCCAAGTCCACAAAACACATGTAGACTGGTTGGGCGAACTCCCATGCACCCTCCAGGACCCTGCTGAGGGTGTAGAGCTGTTCCACAACCAGGATGAAAACCACACTGCTCTTACTGAATCCGAGATTCGACTTTCCAACAGGCCCTCCTCTCCAGGACCCCTGAATGGACCTTACCAGGGAGGCTCAGAAGTATGATCCCTCTATAGGTGGAACACACTCTGCGGTCCCCATTTTTAAATAGGGGGACCACCACCCCAGTCTGCCAATCCAGGGGAACTGTCCCCGATGTCCACGCAATGTTGTAGAGTTGCGTCAACCAACRCAACCCCACAACATCCAGAGCCTTAAGGAACTCCGGGCAAATCTCATCCACCCCCGGCGCCCTGCCACCAGGAGCTTTTAAACCACATCTGTGACCTCGACACCAGAGGTTGGAGAGTCYGACCCAGGGTCCTCAGGCTCTGCTTCCTCATGGGAAGACRTGTTGGTAGGATTGAGGAGGTCTTCGAAGTATTCCRCTCACCGACCCACAATGTCCCGAGTTGAGGTCAGCAGTCCACCATCCCCACCATAAATAGTGTTGGTGGCAAACCGCTTCCTCCCTGAGAYGCCTGAGATGGTGGACCAGAATTGTCTCGAAGYCGTACAGAAGTCTGGAAAACGCTCAAATCATGTTTTACATTTGAGCTTCAATTTAATTTTATTTTTTATTGCCTACAGTTTACTTTCTATATTCCCTATGAGTGAYGAGAACCAGCAAGGCAAGTAAACATACACATATGCACCAACATAAAATAGTAGCAATACATATTAGAGCCAAGTTCTGTATAGATACMTACAGTACATACCAAGTACTTACTGGGTATGGTTAACAAACAGTAGTAATACTCAACACAGCTGTATCTGGTACCTTTGGAGTAAATATTAGTAATGTACACGACTGTACTTACAGAATACTTCCTGGTACCTACATGGTGCAAACCTAATAATTACAATATATGTCCCCCAGTGTGAACCTTGTGAGTCCACATGAGTTACCATATAAGCAACTGTTAAGTATCCAGGTAAGTATCATGTACATAATTTTTCCAAGTACTTTTAGAGTATGCACATGGTACTTACTGGGTATTACCAAAACAGTCAGGCACATATATGGTACTACATCTGGTATTATGAATATGGTTCTTACAGGGTGCAAATCTGGTAGGTATCTGGTACTTACATGGTACTTACTTGTTGCACACCTGGTGATTACAGAATATGTACCAGTATGTAACCTGTAAGAACCTGTTATACCCAATAAGTATCTGGTAAGTGGTAAAAACCAGCTATWTACCCAGTATATATCTGGTATGTACCAGGTAAGTAGCCTAAAAATACCAGATATGTATTTGGTAAGTATGTACTGGGCTGTGTTGTGAACTGGGGGGAGGTTCTGTAAACCTTAACTATTGATTTTTTTTGTGAACAACTCCAATCTAGAGGGTTTCACATTAGTTTATATGCTGTTTTTCTAAATATTTTCACTCCCCTCACGTTCACATGACAATTTCCTTTTCTACTGCAACTAGCGTTTCTAAACTAACATTTCTGTTAGTGGA